AATTGCTTGTATTACTATTTTTAAACTTGAATAAAGTTAAATAGGTTAACTTCAAAACTATTGACTTGAAATTTACATTGAAAAATAGTAAACATTAATTGATGCATCACAGTTGCTATGTCTCTTAATAATGTGCGTTTACATTATTGTTATTTTTAATCATTTCTTCATTCTATATGTTTATTACAATGTGTATAGTGGGAATTTAGTGGTGACTCTCAACCAGTATCACAAAAATATGTCATTTGTCTTTTGAGTCAGCCTTGTAGTTCATCTGCATGTGAGCATAATTGGAGTGCCTTTGAAGCTGCTCAAACAAAGAAAAGGAATTGACTCACTCCAGACATGCTCGGTCCTCTCGTGTACTGTAGGATGAACACAGTCATGATGCAAAATATTGATGAAAAGATGATTAAAGATTCTAATCCAATTGATTTGAGCAAGTTGACATAATGGCCTTATTATGGAGAGGTAGAGTCATACTCTCATATTCTAAATGGGAATGAAAACAATGAAGCTCATGAGAATTCAATTGATGATCCTAACATTGACAATGATATGGATGATGCTGGACGTTCAGATTTTTGTGAGTCTTATATCAATGATGATGATGATGTTTTTGTTGAATTTGATATTTTAGAATAATTTTGTAGCTAGTAGAGGACTTTATACTTTATGGTATGGATGATGCTGGACTATTTTTCATTTCGAACATTTGCTCGATTAAGACTTTATTTTTTTAGCATGGCAATTGTATGAACGTGCTTTCCTTTTTGGATTTATTTCAATTTAAAGCGAGATTGTTGTTTTTTATTCACTTTATTTTTTTTGTGAATAAATATGTGCATATTATAAGACGTATTTTATATTTAGGATACGTTTATTACACGTACGTATGCGTATACGTATTTTGTAAGTTTGAAACATATAATAAGACGTATTTTATAAATTTTTAACATATTATACACGTACGTACGTATTTCCGTATTCTACTTTTGCCATATATAACTAACTATGGTCTCTTTTACTACAAACATCGCATCTATCTCAGCGCGACCTCCCCCTTGCATACGCCAATTTTGGAGGAATATCATAATACACTGCTGGGCGGACACCAGGGCGTTGAGCGCACATTTCTTCATCTGGAAGGGGTATTTTTCTAGCCTAATATGCGCACGGACGTCCGCACCTTTGTAGCTTCCTGTACGGTGTGTCAAGCTACGAAGTACTCCACCCAAAAACCCAGGGCCTGCTCCAACCCCTTCCCGTGCCCGAACACGTGTGGGAGGCGGCGTCATTGGACTTCATCACGAGACTACCACCTTCCCAGGGATTCTCTGTCATCTTGGTCGTAGTGGATCGACTGACCAAATATGCCCACTTTGGGGCCATGGCGTCCGGGTTTGATGCTCCTCACGTGGCACACACTTTCGTCGACATAGTGGTCAAGCATCACGGTTTTCTAACAAGCACTGTATCCGACAGAGACCCAATCTTCATGAGTTTATTTTGGAAGGAATTAATGAAGCTAAGCGGGACTTCATTGAAATATAGCACGTCGTATCATCCACAAACGGATGGGTAGACCGAAGTCATGAACCGCGTCCTAGAACAATATTTGCGGGCATTCGCCCACGAAAGCCCTACATGGTGGTCGGCGCTTTTCCCTTGGGTCGAGGTCTCTCTAAATTGCAGCTTCAACAACAGCATCAACATGGCTCCGTTTCGTGCTTTGTATGGGCGCGAACCTCCGGCGTTGTTCCCAACACTCTCCATACAATCTTAGGTACCAGCTATTGAGGAGCTACTTACGGAACGGGCCGAGATCTTATGGGATTAGAGAGGTCACTTGCACAAAATACAGCAGCGTATGCGTGACCAAGCAAATTGCCATCATCTACAGCCGTACCGCCAGCATTCAGTGGCCAAGCCGCTGTCTGCCAAATTGGCATGCCGGTACTGCGGCCTGTCTGAAGTCTTGGAACGCATTGGCGCCGTAGCATACCACTTGCGCCTCCCTGCCGAATGCCGCATTCATGACGTTTTCCACGTCTCGCTGTTTCGCCCCTTCGTGAGCCGTGGATCAGAGACGCCACCCCATGACACTTCCAATTGAGTCTTTGAAAGGCCAACCCATTTCGTTTCCGGTGGCCGCCGAACAGCAACGCACGATTTTGGTGGACGGACAACCCCAGGAGCAATGGTTAGTCCAATGGTCGGATGGTACGTCGGCATATATGACATGGGAACCGGTGCATGAGCTTCAACGTCGTTTTCCAACTCTTCGCCTTGAGGACAAGGCCGACTTCGACCGTAGGGGAGTTGATACGGGTGAACTAGAGGACGGACTAGTGGATCAAGGAAACACACAGGTGACAACGACATCAGAACGACCACGGAGGACAGTGGTACCTCCCCGAAGATATCAAGACCATGTTTAGCATTTATAATTATTTTATCGTTACTTATTTTCTCCTTATAAGCTCCTTCAAGGGTTTTCTTTTCGGTTCTTTTCCTTGACGCTTTTATTGAACCGACAGGTCGAGGCTCCTTATCAATATACTTCCTCCGTCCCTAAATATTTGCCACACTTCTATTCCCGAGGCAAAATATCATGTTTTTTCAATTCATTTTATTTACATATTGGTATAGAAATAAAAAATAAAATTTACATATCAAAAAACTACATGAAAAGTTCTTTAAAATAAGAGGTATCAAGAATATTTTATTTTATAAAATAACCAATGAAAACGTAGAAATAAACAAAAGTTCCCGCGACTGCTGAAAAAGTAAACGTTGCAAATAATTTGGGACAGAGGGATTAAATATTAAGGGAATCTCATTAGAAAAGGAATAAGAAAAAGCCTTTACTTAATTATTCTTTTAATTTTTCCCTTTCCTTCCTCCATCGTACCATCACTGCCAAACAAACCCTAGGCAGCTACAGTTTCGGCCACAACTCAGCCGGCCACCTCCAAAAGCCGCCCTATCATTGTGTCTCTTTTTAAATTTGAATTTTTAAAATCTCAAAAGTTTACTATTCCTGATTTTTAAAAGATTTTCACCCCCTCTAATTTTCAATGGCCAAAACTATTCTTATTGGAAAATGTAGATGGAATACTTTATTCAATCAATTGATTTTGATTAATGGTTGAATGTACTTCACGGGCCATTTGTGCCGAGAAACGGTGATTTTGCAGGACTATCCTCGGAGGACAAGAGAAAATTGTCAATGAATACAAAGGCGAAGAACATCCTTCATTGTTCCCTTGGACCCGATGAGTTCGCACGTGTGTGCTCGTGCAAAACAGCCAAGGAGGAATGAGATTTTTCTTCAAGCCACGCATGAAGGAGACACCTCCACGAAGCAAACCATGTTGGCCCTGCGAAACTCACAATATGAAAGCTTCAAAGTTGGCCAACACGAGTCAATCCAACATGCCAATAGAAGCTTCAATGAAATACGGAGTAATCAACAAGATGAGTAAGTTGAGTAAGGAATATTCTACAAGTGAATTAAATACTAAAATTTTACTTTCTTTGTCAAAAGAATGGCATAATAGTATTATAGATCTTTTACCCAAATGTGCAACAGAAATTACCACCCACATTTGGTCTTCTTTATATTCTCACGAGCTATTGATGATTAAGATGAAAAAAGAATATTTGAGAGAAGACCCGAAACGAACCAATGCATTCAAGACATCCAATGAGGAGTCTAGTGAAGACTCAAGTGACTCAAGTGATGAGTCAAGTAAAACAGATGAAACATCCGATGACTCTAATTCGTGAAGTGATGAAAAATACGAAGAAAGAGAAATGAGAAAGAAATACAAGAGTTTTCTCCAATGGAAATTTTATGAAGACTCAAGAAGGAGAAAATCAAAATTAAAGAAAGAGAATATTATAAACCTTCCAAGCAAAAACAATAGCGGAATAAGCCAAGGTAAGTTTCTTTTTTATTGGGATAAAATATTTTGTTTTTAATTTTTTTCAAAAATGAAACCTTATCCCATATGTGCTTCAATATGTTTAAGCCTTGGTTTGCATGATTAAATAATTTTTCAAAATTCATTTTTTTCATGCATTTTAGAAAATAATCCCCAAAAATCCTTGAAAATAAATTTTTTAAATGTGCATCATTTTAGGGGGAGTTTTTGTTTTAGGGGGAGTTTTGTTGTAAATGCACCTTCTACCTAGTGATCTCCAAATGATCATTTTTCCCAAAATTCATTTTGATAGGGCAAGGATTTTCAAGAATTATACATGCTTTAAATATTTTTAAAATGCCCTTTTTGATTTTAATAAAGAGAGAAAGATGTATACTTCAAAGTAATGCATATGCAATTTGACTTGAGTGCATTCTTGTGTGGTCATTTGCATCAAACTTAAACTTTTTAATAAACGCAAGAAAAGTTCAAAGTGAATATTTTCAATATGCTTACTTTTAGGAGGAACTTGCTTGCTTCATTATTTGGGAGAAAGACCAAATTAGGACTAAAACATTGAAAATATATCAAAATATGACTTCCATGTTTTTATTCTCGAAATAAGACTTACATTACCAAACGTGGTCATATACATTACCAAAAAGTATAGTAATTTGCACATGTACACTGCCACATTACCACAATGCAAAGTCACATTACCACAGTGCAAAGTCTTATTCCGGGAAAAAACATGAAAGTCCTATTTTGGTACTTTTCTCTATGTTTTAGTCCTATTTAGGATGATTTCTATCGTTATTTCACTCTCGCCTAACTCACCTTGAAGTATATATATTGTTTGTCAAGATTAAATTACGAGTCTTTAGCAAACCAAGTCTAACAAGGATTCATAGTCCAATCAGGAACAATTTTTTTTAAGTCAAATACTCCGTACTTCGTAGGAGGTAGAAACACTATGGACCAGCAGCACCCAGCCCGTTGAGAGGCTTATCAGGCCATAATCATTTCCCAAATTTTGTTATAAATAGAAAAGATGGACAAGAAGTGCAGTGTTCGAAAGAAGAAAGTAGAAACACCTTTCTACGCCCCTTCTTCCCACTTCTCCTTCCTCTTAGTACAATAGTACTCCTCCCCTTCTCCTTCCTATAACAAACAAATCCAAAACCTTTTCATTCATAACAAATCTAAAACGTCTCTTTCGTTCTCTTCTTTTTTCTCTAAGCGCGCAGCAACGCAACACAACCATGGTGGTCCTATCAAAGCATGTAATCGAACAACTCTCCATTGCCAAGCCCCACAAAAGCGGCGGCAGCGGCGCCGCCTCCTTTGGCATCCCTTTGATAGACCTTTCCAAGCCGGAAACCGCCCAAAACCTCCTCGTGAAAGCGTGCGAGGAGTTTGGGTTCTTCAAAGTCGTCAACCACGGCGTTCCCACCGAGCTCATCGCCGCCCTCGAATCAGAAGCCACCAAGTTCTTCTCCTCCCCCGTGTCCCAGAAACAAAAGGCCGGTCCTCCCCGCCCGTTCGGGTACGGGAGCAAGAAGATCGGGTCCAACGGGGACATCGGCTGGGTCGAGTACATTCTGTTATCCGCCACCAATCCGGATTTCGACAACTTCTCGTCCGTGACCGGCTTCGCCCCGGAAAAGTTCCTGGGCGCGGTGAACGAATACGTGAAAGCGATGAAGGGAATGGCGTGCGAGATATTGGAACTGTTGGCGGGGGGGTTGAAACTGGAGAGGAAGGACGAGCTGAGCAGGCTGGTGAGGGACGAAGAGAGCGACTCGGTGTTCAGGGTGAATCACTATCCGCCGTGCCCTGAGTTGCAAGAAACCAATGATAAAGAAGACAAAGATTCGATAATTGGGTTCGGGGAGCACACAGACCCACAAATCATATCTGTTCTGAGATCAAACAACACTTCGGGACTCCAAATCTGCCTCAAGGACGGCCGCTGGGTTTCCGTCCCCGCCGATCAGACCTCCTTCTTCGTCAACGTCGGTGACTCGCTCCAGGTACGCACTGCCACCGCCACCGCCTCTTTTTTTTTTTCTTACGTGCTCTCTACAACATACCCTCTTTTCTGCTTTTTTGCTCTTTTCAAAGTGGTTTCCTTTTTCCACCGAACAGATTCCAAGGATAGACTTTTTCTGAAAAACGCCTATCATATCTAGTGTATTCCTTTGGTTTGTGAAATTTGCATTGAATAGAATTAAAACATAAGTCATTTTTTAATGTACGATTTAAATTTTTTTAATCTCTAAGTAAAACTTAATAATGAATAGTAAGAAGAATAATGTCCAAGTGATGTTAGACATTTAGTAGAATAATGACTAAACAATAATGACCAATGGCCCTACATTGGGAAATAAAAACATATGGTCTTATATTGAGAAAATTATTATTTTTAGTCCTATTTAGGTAAAATACTCGTTCCCTATATACTAACTCGGGATATACACTTGAATCCAANAGGTGATATGATTATTATTTACTCCCTCTGTCCTAAAATTAACTTCCCATTTGACTTTTCACGGTCTCCAATGCGACACTTTGACCATTAATATATCAATTTTTATATAAATATATTTTACAAAAATTATATATTTCAAAACTATGTTTTAAAATGAATCTATTGCTAATAAATTTATATGAAAATTCAATATATTTTTTCCATAATATACGGTCAAAGTTTAAAAAGTTTGACTACAAAACTCAAACTGAGAAATTAATTTTAGGACGGAGGGAGTATCAAACAACTAACAAAAATATGTAAAGAAAGTGAGATTAAAATTTGACCTTATAAATAGAAACTTAAAAGAACGATTTATGTCGGAGGAATATGATCGAAAAGTTTTGTACTAATATTTTGTGTTACAAAAATTCTAGGGATACACCAAATTGGTGTACTCCATATGTACCCCATCCCCACCATAGAAAAGCAAGAGAGGAAAAAATTAAAAATAAAAGAAAATTGGATGGTGAAGATGCATGGACGGCATGGTGTACGTATGGGGTACACCATTTGGTATACCCCTAGCATTCCTCTTTGTGTTAATGTAAATCGTCAAAATGCCAGTGCACAATGTGGTGTACAATTGTCTTTGATGTACAAGTAGCTTTATTTAAAAACATTCGCAGCTAAGATTGCGTTCTGTTTGTCTGATCTGATCTGATTTTTTGAGGATATGATCATGTCTGACCTGATCTGATTGCAATTATAATTAAAGTTGTTTTTGATCTGATATGACTTGATCTGATTATAATAAGAATATGTAATAAGCAGAGAAAATAAGTTGAACCGTCTCATGCCTAACAATGCTCGACCACTACAGATGACGTTGACTCATTGGTTTTTCTTGATTTCAATAAATCGGCTCTATCCTATGATCCTATCTTTAGGCCTCAACTAAGTGTCGTTTAAAGCCTAATTAGGTGTTAGGTCTTAATCCATTTTGTTGCAACAAAGTCTTAATCCATTTTATTGTTGATACTGGACATCCTTGTCGACCTATTTTACCCTTCAGAGCAATTTTTTAATTTAACTAAATAGGGTATTGCTAAATCTACCTCTAAGAGCACTGGTAATGGTTATGAAGCCCCGGGGCTTCCAACCGGGGTTTAAACTTTCTCTCTCTGCCACGTCAGCTTTAACTTACACCCAAAATTCACTGGAAATGGGTTTGAAGCCCCGGGGCTTCAAAACTGGGCTTCAAACTTTCATTTTTTACATTTTTAAATATACATCTTCTAAAATTAAATTAATAAAATGTAATTAATTTATGCACTCCTCCTCCGGCGTCCACTTTTGGATTGACCGTGCCGCCTCGGTCAACGTGCTTTTGGCTTTGTGGCTTTTCCGGCGTGTACTTTTTTTCGATTCGGGCGGTTCCGGTTGAGTCTCCGGAACCGAATCTCGGTCGACGTACCCCGACTGTTGCGTCTCGTAAATCGGCGGTTGATCGCCCAACTCTTGGTAATACCACATCGCGGCGTCGACAGGCGGGAGATCGTCGGGAAAGAAGCCGGAGCCGGAAGGATTCATGTTGAAAATTGGGAGGGGGGGTTTGAATTTTGAAATTTAAAAATAAGAAAGAAGAAGAGATTGAAGAGAAGGTGTGAGAAATTGGTTTGGGGGTTGAATTTATAGAAATTTTTTTTTTTTTTTTGAAATGTGGGCTGCAACGGCTTTTTTAGCCGTTAGGAGGGAGCCGCGCAAGAGTCACGCCGCGTCAAACAATTGACGCAGGGCTCCTCACGCCCGTTTAACGCCGGCGGGGGGGCGGTGTTTCACGCCCCTGGGGCGTTTAACACCCCGTAACGCCGGTGGGCGTGAAGAGTATTACCAGTGCTCTAAAGTACTATATCTACACTCTTTTCCAATAATTATTAAATCGAGACCCATCAACATCGCTTTAACATTAGTGTATATTTGGTAAACTTAGTGAAAAAGGTAGATATATCCATTTTGGGGTTCAATTTAGCAACACCCAACTAAATATTGATGGACAATTAAAAAATAAAATGACTCATTTATTTAAAAACTATTCTCTTTACCCTAAAAAGATTATTTGTAGTTTACGATGTTTAATTGGCAAGTTGAAAAATTTTTATGAGACAAAAGGAATACATAAAAGTTTTTACCACTTTATACTCGGTATTTAACAAATACTCAATAGAGGAAGTCTAATATGATACCAGCATTATTAGTGTCATTTGCTTACACCAGTATACTGTCTGGATAGAGAAGGGGTGGGAAGGGAAGGGGTGGGCTGGAGTTGGGGTTTAGGTGGGAGGCACGGGGTGAAAATTATCATTTTTTTGATCAAACTAGTTTTTTATGTCAGTGTTAATCGTTAAAATATTGATGCATATCTTTACTGTACACTTAGAGGTATATTCTTTGATGTACTCCTAGCATACTTGTTTTTTTTAGCTCAAAAAAATGCACATTTTGATGAAGGAGGTGGTGATTTCATTTAAAAGAAAGATGGGGAAAAAAATGGATATAATAATGTAGATGTGGAATGGCAATGTAAGCAGGTGTTGACAAACGGGAGATTGAAGAGCGTTCGGCACAGGGTATTGGCGAACAGTAAGAGAGCAAGGCTGTCAATGATTTACTTCGGAGGGCCACCGCTGAGCGAAAAGATAGCTCCATTGGCTTCACTCGTGGGGGGAGAGGAAGACAGGTTGTACAAAGAGTTCACTTGGTTCGACTACAAGATCTCCGCCTTCAATTCTCGCCTCGCTGACAATAGGCTCCTCCCCTTCACTCTTTGATCGTCATCATCTCGATGGACTAGTTAGTACTATCACGTATTTGCCATGCCAGTTGGCCAAACATGACTATAGTTGGCAAGACAAAAAATATCCCGGAAAATAATATTTTAGTTTGTTGGTTAATGACATCTGTGTTGGGAGACAATTATCCTAAATACTCCCTCCGTCCTAAAATTAACTTCTCATTTGATTTTTCACGGTCTCCAATGCGACACTTTGACCATTAATATATCCATTTTTATATGAATATATATTATCAAAATAATATGTTTCAAAATGATGAATCTATTGATACTAAATTTATATGAAAATTCAATATATATTTTTCGTAATATGCAGTCAAAGTTTAAAAACTTTGACTGCAAAAGTCAAAATGAGAAATTAATTTTAGGACGGAGGGAGTATAGGATTCTGCAAGCATCACCTTGACCCCATGTTGAGGGAGACTTAGTATTAATTTTTTAAAAAAAAAAAAGAAGAAGAAGAAAAAAAGATACAGCACATTCATTCTCCATGGCCTGCATCAAAATCTTTACTCGTCAGTGGCCAAACCGCCCAACCTCGGCCCACAAGTACTGTGTAGTAGCTACTGGCTACTGCTACCAAGTCCCATCCCAATCATCAAATCATTATTTTTACTACTGTATTTTGCTAGGATTGAACTGTTTAGTTATTTGTGAGTTACTGTATTAATTTAGTTTCCCAAACAGTTACGTTTTCTCTTAACCTATCAGCTGGATGTAATTTCAATGAAAAATGCTAGGAATACACTTTGGTGTACCCCATTTGTTCCTCACCCCCTCCATCACTACAAAAAAAGGCAAGAAAATAAAAAAAATTAAATAAATAAAAATAAAATAAAATTGTATGGTGGAGAAATGGGTGGGGGACAAATGGGATACACCAAATGGTGTACCCCTAGCATTCCTCAGTTTCAATTGTTGTCTGGTTCTTATTTCACCCTTTGCCTTCCATTTCAATATACTTTGGTCATTACATGTCCGTTTTTAGGCTAATATTTATTTTCACCCAAGTAACTGAAACATCTAGATCGGAGTGCAGCTAGGATGTATGTAGTTACCCAAATAAAACATCTATGTAGACAGATCCATTAAACAAGCAAAGTGTTGTGATGATGTTGCAGTAATGTAAAAAGAGGAATGCTAGGAGTATACCATTTGGTGTACCTAATTTGTCCCCCACCCATTTATCTACCATATAATTTTATTTATTTTTATTTATTTAATTATTTTAATTTTCTTGCATTTTTTTGTGGTGATGGAGGGGGTGGGGGACAAATGGGGTACACCTTTCACCAAAGGTGTACCCCTAGCATTTTTCATGTAAAAAACATGAAAGACAAGGTTGTACAGCGCATCTTCAAAAGAAACAAAAAATAGTTAAGTTTCTGGAACTTGTAAATATTATGGCACCGCCATAAAAATGGGAATTTCCAGCGGTTATGGTGGTCCAGAAAAATACCTAAGGGCGAGGCATCCCGTGGAGTACGCCAAATATGCGGCGAAAAAGAAGGGACGATAAGAACTGCAAACCCAAATTTCTCGGTTTGCTAATAGAGGTAAGAGCGGCCTTTTTGCTTATTGCGACGAGCAAAATTAGTAAAAAAGGGCCGAAATGATTTGTGAAGAAAATTATCTTACTAAAGTATTAACATGGTAATCATAAAAACTAAAAACATTTCAACACTTTTATATATCACAAAAATATTTTTCATAACATAACATTACGGAGTTTTCAATATTGCGGAAGCTTGACAAATCATAATCACAAACATAATTTATTTATATTCTTTAATTCAAAACCATCACATCCGTTTTGACAATCTCGCCTCCGTCTACCTCCAGGATCATTTCACATCATTCTTTCTATTAACCTGCGTGTAGCAAATAAAACATACTACACTGCACGCTCAACGTTAAAGCTGAGTAAGCATATCTAATGCGTCAAACATCCATATAAATTGAATCTCAATTCATAATCAAATCATTTGATATCATACACATAATGTTCAGTTCAGATATTCAATATTCATCATTCAATATTCAACATTCATATTCAACATTCAACAATATCCTTAAATGATTCTTAGTCTAAGGCCAATCTCTCCACCAACTCTTAAATGAATTCTAGATTAAGGTTCTTAAACTATATTCCATTTTAAGCTAGTCCTAACTACCCCTTAAGCTAGGCCTAGTTTAAGATACAAATTTTCAAAAGAGGTTTTAAAAAATCTTAAACTTATTTTCGCTTAAGGTCAACCAGAAACCGAACAGTGGAATGCTCACTGTCGGGTTGGGTGGTATCCCTTAACAAGTGATCCTCAAGTTTGCTTTGTAGATCCCGTGCCTACATTTTAACCCAGACTACCTAATATTCATAATTTTACCCGCAAGGTCTATTTCTAAGCTATCTAAGAGGTCTTCTAGATAGTCTTAGAAACCAACATCAAACTAGGTATATCTTAGATTTCTTCTAGATATCCTCACAATCCAAATCATTTCATAATCATCAGTGTATTCATTTTAAATCATACTCCCTCCGTTCCTTTAAACCCTTCCACTTTTGACTTTTCGCAAAAATAAGGAAAGTGTAATTTTGGTTGACTTTCCAATTTTGTCCCTGATGTGATGGGTAAAAGTAAGATGTGATAGTTTGGTTATTAGAGAAAAAGTATGATGTGATAGGTAGGGTATGAAAAAGTAAGGGTAAAAGAGGTTTTTTAATAGAAAATGGAAGTGTTTTAGGGAATTCAAAAAAAATGAAAGGGGAAGGGTTTTGTGGAACGGAGGGAGTAGTTTAATCATCAATAATCTTTTTAATTAATGGATTCATCAAATCATAATCATCATAATAATCATTCATCATAATCATCAATCAACATAACATCCAATAGCAAATAGCGGCCTAGCTTTGAATGTTAACATCTTATCTTACCGTCATGCACCACGTAAGGTCTTTTTAATTATCAAAACATCATTATTTTTCAAGAAATCATCTTTATATTAATCAGAATTGATTGGCATCAAAACTCGGATTTTAGAGATTAAAAATAACATCTTCATAATTATTTTCGGAGCAGAATTTTTTGGGAATCGATCTAGTCCTCTGGATCGATCCAAACTAAGAGAAACAACTCCCAGGGGATCGATCCACCTCATTGGATCGAACCAGCCTCAGTATTTTTGGTCACTATTCATCTTCTTCTTCGTTTCGGGTCCAATTTTGAATATACCATTTCTAGTTACTGAACTTCCATTAAACTATATAGAAATGTTCTCCAAGATTATAGATCATTATGGTATCATTAATTCATAGTTTAAACAAAAATTTCATGGTTTATGATTCTTGGTTCTTCAAGCATGTCAAACACAAAACTCAACCAAATGACCGTTTATGAGCGTAGAAACGATTTATATGAACATTCTAGTCACTAGATATATCTACGAGCTTACCTCGAAGCTAAACGATGATTCCAGTGATTGAACGAAAAAACTTCCGGCGAACACCACGGCTTGCTCCGGCGACTTCACACCAAATTGACAGCACCACAACACTCCTCACACCTAAAGTTCTCTTATGGAAGAAGAATGTTGAAGAATGGTGAAGAAATGAGTTCTTTATATAGGAGAAGAGAAGAGAAGAACACAGGGAAAATGAACTGCTGCTGCGTAGGATTCTCATTTCATGATCTTCGTTTGGCGATAGTGCGACTTAAGGAGATTCAGCATGTTATTCCCTGATTGGGACTAACTTGGTCCCAGCCGAGGTACACATTTTGGTCCAACTTTCTTTGAATTGAAATTTGTTTGCACTGTTGCGATCGTACGATTAAACTCTATCCAACAATATAATTTTTATATTTATTTGTAATACTTTTTCAGACATCATATTTTTGGCTATATGACTTTGATAAAGTCAAAATTGATTTAATTGACCTTTATTCAAAAGAGTTCTTTCGTTTAATTCATATTATTTATTCTCATGATTTATGATTTCAAAGCTCACATCATAAACACATTGTTCATTTATTCTTAATTTAGGTCTTCACTCAGGTTCCCATTCAAGGTAACACAATAGTCAACATATGGGAATTATCTCTATGAGATTTATCCAGATTATGATATTGGATATCAGAATATATTTTATTTCGGCTCAAAGCATAACAATAATTTATTTTAATCAAACAATTTGTTTATTTGAATAATAATTCAATATAACTTTAGGGTATATTTTGGAGCGTTACAAACTTAGATTTATTGATTATTGTCAAAATGTATTAAACTCTCACGCAAGAGGTATTTCAAGAACAACAATTGAGAGAGAAATTATTAGACAATATAAAGTTGAAAAAATGAATTTGGCAAATTTTTTCTCAATTTTAATTCTCATGTTACTATTTGTTCTGATATTTGGAGTGAAACATATCATAATTTGTTTTATATGGGTGTTACTTGTTATTGGATATATAGTGATTGGATTATGCATAAACGTGTTCTTGCATTTCGTGATTTCAATGAGTCTCATACTGCTGAAAATATTTTTCTATTGCTTGAGCGTATTCTGCAAGAATACAATTTAGTTAATACTCTTTCCGTCCCCCTGTATTTGTCCACTTTCATTTTTGCACACCATCCAATGCACTTCTTTAATCCATTTTATCTTGTAATTTGTATATTAAAAAATTATATATTAATAATCTATATGTTAAGACAAATCAAACAAGATCACACATGACTATATTTAGGCTTACACATTGAGAGAATTTGATGAGTCAAAGTGTTTAGATGAACAGTTCCAAAAGTCAAATGTGGACAAATACAGGGGGACGGAGGGAGTAAAGTGTTTGCGGTTGGTTTTGATAATGCTACTAATAATACTGCTGATATTCCGAAACTTAAAGAAATTTGCCCCCTATTACTAGTATGAGTAGATTTCTGTATCAAAGGTGTGCTTGTCATGTTTTAAATTTATGTGTTCAACAGGGATTAGAAGCTATGGGGGGGTTTTGACAAATATTAGAATTGGAATTAAAAAGATTTGGGGTAGTCGTATTCATACGAAAGCCTGGAAGTCATACTGTAAATCTAGGGATAGAAGACCAATAACATTTGTTCACTATTAGATGGAATAGTACGTACATACAAGTTGATAACACAAATTCTAAGCTATAAAGAGGAACTTGCTACATTTCTTAGGAATGAACT